AAATGACTGCTCTTGAAATGAATGATGACCAGGACTTCTCAGTTCTAAAACAGAGACAGAAAAATATTACTCTTCTTCACTCCTTAAACAGCAGTTCAGAAATGCAAACTGGCTAGTGCATATTATAAAGATAGACAGATCACAGATAATGTGTATGTGAGAGACAGAGACAGAAGGCTCATTCTCAAGCCAACTTACTATGGTACAAAAAACAGTAACTGGTTTTAAGGGACACATCCTCATGACATTGCCCCTACTTATTCCCAGCCCACTGCTAAGGTGGTCTAAAGTCTTCTTTACTTGTTCCACTGTTAAAGTAGACTTTTCCCTCTTCACCCCACATAGACCTTGCCATACACACAATCTACCCTTACCAAATGCTATCCAAGTAAAATTTGAATAGGGAGTTGGCATGTTTTACCTTGTGTCACACTAGAACAAGCACTCTGCCCCCAAATTAAGTATGTTTTTATTTTAAATCTGGTTTTATCTGGATGTCATTGAGGTAAAATAAGAGAAGTGCAAGCTGTGTCCTATGGGGCTATCTTTTCTCTGCCTTTTTTTTAAATGTACATAACAAAATTTAAAATACCCTAGCCAATACGTCTGCTACATCAGATTCCTCTTACTGTATCTCCTAATGTTCAACCCAAATCTTTCCTCCTGTAATTGAAATCCCTCAGCACTTGTGTGGCCCTCTTAGGCAATGAAAACATGTTTTTGCATTATTTTATCTGACAGTCCTTCTAGTTTCTGAAGATGCTATCATATATTATTCACTGCACAACTGTGCTTCAGCTTAATGGTTAAAGGCAGGAGGAGTTGACCCACTGATCACCCTTCATCATCTAAAGATGGTAGCTAGAACTACGATGATGAGAGCATCATCAAGGGTTTGTATCACGCTCTGCCCTCCTAGCATCTAGGTATACCAGCATTGTGGTAGGGGAAGCCAGGCCGTAGCATGACTCTAGGTTTGGTGAGATGCTGCCCAGAGAGAGACACCTTAGGTGGTGGGGTCTTAAGAGTCATAAAGGCAACCTAGTCTACCTCTACCCAAGGCCAGCCATACCACTTTTGCTTCTTGATTGCTTTCCCCAAATGAGTACAAAAAGAGGCCTAAAATAGGGAGGGGGATCACTATGCCACCAAAGAATCTGAATCCAAGTCTAGCTGCCTGGTTCTGACCATGCTTCTGCTCTCTCATTTACTGTGTCACTTTGACTTAACAATGTCACAATAGAACAAGGACAACTGGCTTTGCAAAACTATTTGCTTTGGAAGCTTCCAAGTTACTGAGTTATGTCATTCCTCCAAAGTTTGAGGAGTGCTCCGTGTAACAATATGTACTGGTCTTTAGCAAGACCACATCTGTTTTGCCTGTTTTGATACAGAACAGCATGCAAGCTTTGACCTGATCAACAGGTATTTTGTTTTTTAGTTTTTTGACAAAGGATCAACAATCCTATATCAAAACAAACCAAAATTCTGATTGGCTAATGATGCACAGAGGGGCTATGGGATAAGTTGGAATGAGAACCTAGAGAGCCGCACCAGCACAACTTCATTACAGCAAATTAGATTGTTTCTACTGCCAGCAAATGAGGCTAGGTGGGAGGGGAAAGGAAGCTGGGAAAATTACCAACCAGTGCCCTGAAACTCTCCTAAATTAAATAAGGATATCACCAGTTCCTGACTGTATTACAAAGACATAATAAAGCTCAGCTGTGGGGCAGCACAATTTATATTGCATATTTTTCTGTCCACTCAAGGATGGGAGGAATATACAACACAGCCATCAGAAGGTAATGCAAACATGCAATAATGAAAATGGAGACAAACTTCACTCCTTAGAATAAGATACGTTTGCAAATTTCATTCAATTTTATATATACACACACATCATGCCATTTTTAAAATTTTCTCACTCTAGTCAAGTGGGAAGATACCTGAAGTTGAAGTGAACATCTGCCTTGGATCTTTGCTGAAGAACAATATTGTTCCAATACACTAATATGTGGTGATTACATATCTGAGACCCTATCTAACAAACACTGAAATACAGCTCAATCTCTGATTTGAAGGAAAGCTTGAGTCATTCAGTGAACTGAGATGAATGAAAAACATTATACATTTTTCCATTCAAAGAGACTCTACAGGTTGCCAGTATAGCCTTCATTCTGACTGAGAAAGAGCCTCCACATTTTTTTTCTGAATTATATCACATTTCTTTTTTATCATCCTTCTTTGTCCTCAGCCAGAAAGACTATCATACACACCATTTTCTTAGTTCTAACCAGGCATGGGGGTCCCAGGGAATGGGGAGATTTTAAGGTGGCTCCTTCACTGTGGGTGATACGAGGTTGTTATATTTCTCTGTTTTGTGGTTTGTATATTCTAATTTTTAATGATTTTTTTTATTTTTAATATGATTGTTTTTATTTTCATAATGTTTTATAATATTGCTTTTATATTGCTGTTTTATCTGATTGTTGTATGCTCCCCAGATTCACTTCTGGTGAAATGGGCAGCTATATAAATTTGATAAATAAATAAATAAATTCCTGGGCCCAAGCCACTGCTTTTGCTAATCACTACTATTACAATGGATCTTCAGATATTCTAGCTTCAGATATTTTAGCTGCCTGTACAGGTTTATTCTACTGACTGATATTTTGCTTGGGCATTAGATCAGGCACCTTGACTCTAGATTTCCACTGTGTTTTCAGCAAAATAACTCAGGTAAGAGAAATTACAGAAACTATAAGAATAAAATGTTCTGATTCCTGCTGCTCATCTACCATAACATTTTTGGAAAATTCCAAGTACTATGGAATTTCCAGAGGGAACATAATCTGGCATTGCAAATCTAATTATGAATCACCATCCTGCTGGCAATCTCATGAAAGGAATCTGTGCATTGGCCAATCAAAAGCCTGGGGAGAAAAGTAACTCATCCTGAAGAATTACTGTTGCCCTCAACTGGTCACAAAGTTCTTAGTTATTACAATTTCTTAATTACTCTTTTCTAACTAGTAGAATAGCAGTTAGAGTAATTAACAACACAAGCATGCAGGTTCCAATACTCATAGGACTAGAGGACCTCTGACAATAGTGTGGGAACTTCTATTTTGGAAAGTGAATTGATGATTCCCATTTGTCCCACCCAAACTCTGGATCATATAATTAATTGTCAAGCATTTACCATGTCAGATGCAGCTTGAATATGCTGCACCTAGATCGCTACATAAATTATAAGCACACATGAAAAGGAACCCTCCATACAATGTCACACATCCAAAGGCAGAACCAGGGGGGTTGATTAAATTTTGTGATAAAATTAAAACAAATTGTGATCATGAATACTTTTAAAAGGTCTCTTTTTGAACAGAAAATAAAACAGCAACATTTCATTTCAGTATTGTAAACAATGTTTGCTTCCTAGATTACAGTTCTCTCTCCTGGATACACAAGACTGGCTAAGAATGGATTGTTAAATTGACAGCCCTAAGGCATCTGTGTACATGTCATAAATCGGCCAACTTAGATTCAGATTATGAGATACACCAACATTTTCTTTCTTCTGGGAAGGGTGGGGGAATGTAGAGCCTTCCAACAAATTCTATTTGACTATGTTAGAACAAGTAAACCAACTTTTGAGCCCAACCCTTTTCTCTGACTCTCTACTCTTTTTATAGATGATCTGCTTCTAATTAGCCCTCTATCATTTAAAGTAGCTGCTTCTAAAATTGGACCTCTAAACCTCCCATCAAAACTAAACCACATTATTCTGCTCTTACCAATATGATCTCATGATTCTTTCCCACACTTCTGGTGCAACCACATTAAGTGGAGTTTCTTATTTTAGTAAGTAGATATTCCCTCCCCCTCCCCCCTGCCCACCTAGCCATTTCCTTCCAGTTCTTGGGGACAGAGCAGGATCTTTGCTTTGTTTTAATAATGGGAAATTACACCTTTGTATGGGTAAGTCACACTCCAATAATCAGCACATATGAAATGAGTTACTAATAATAGCAGTTAACGCTACTGTTAAAAGCATACATATATGACATGCTAACCAAGTAAGGTCAAGCACAGAGAAGTTAGATAGTTCCTTTCCCATAATTGCTTCTTCACTCAAGACATTAAACATTTATTATGCTTTATTATTTCTATTACTTATTTGAAATATCAGATCACAGTGTTTCACATCAATAATTTTTGTCCTTCATTTCCTCTTCTGTTCCAACATTAACCTTAGGGCCATGAAAAATCTATTATTTGCAGTTTACACCAGTATGTGTGTTTTTTTTTTTTTTTTTGCAAGTAATTGTATATATGGAAAAAGAGAACTAAATTAACAGAGACAATGCCAGGGGCAAAGAATTAACTCCATGCTTCATGTTACAGTCCCTATGTCCCCTATTAATGGGGGGGGGGAATGCCACCCGGGTCTAAATATGTGAATGTCATATCTAGTCTGGCCCTCCCAATGCCAGGGGCAAAGAATTAACTCCATGCTTCATGTTACAGTCCCTATGTCCCCTATTAATGGGGGGGGGGGAATGCCACCCTGGTCTAAATATGTGAATGTCATATCTAGTCTGGCCCTCCCCCCCAAAAAAAAATCCTTGCTTGAACTAAATATCAAATGGAAAAGCTGGAGATCTTTAAAATGTGAAAGAAATGCCAAGATACTGGGACAAAACAATACTTTAACTGAAATTTATAACATATGTTGAAACACCCACCACCTAATTGCTGGATTTTGATAACTGCAAAAACAGCACTTAGAATATAGCAATAAGACAACTTGGCTTACTTAATTCTGCCTGAAATGTGAGTACTACCCTATCATGGGGATTCACTGAGAACAGATATTCTGAATTATACAAATGTATTCAACAAAATTTGGTCAATAAAAAGGGAAGAGTATTCCCAGAGTTGTCTGGAATAGGATGGCCTACAGATGCAATCAATCAATCAATTGTGTTGCTTACCAGTTGAGTCTGCAGCAGATGCGCCTCCACTAGTCAGATCCTCTGTATTTATTGACTGAAGATCAGTATAAGAAGGGGTGATACTTGGGCTGCTACTGTTTTCTGAAGTAGTTGTCCAACTGCTGTCCGAAGCAAGAGGTTGTCTCTCTGAATATCCCAAGGAGGGACACATCCAGCAAAATAGTTTTGGAGATGAGGCTTAAAAGAAAAAGAAGGTTATTAAATTTAATGGCACAAAAGGAGTTCTGTAAAGAGGGATGATCAAGTATAAAACAGAAGTATGTAGAACATGGAACTGCTGATTTCAGGTGGCTTGTCTCCATTTCTTTGTTGTAGTATGAACTTTAATTTTCAAAGTTTTGCCATTTTCTGTCCTCAGAGGTTGTAATCTGATCACACATGTCAGAAGGTCTATGCCGCTCCCAGATTTCCATGAGCAGAAAGAGAAAGGCAAGTCCTTGTTTGGGTTGAAAAGAGGACATGAAAGTGATGGCCACAAATAATAGCTGAAGATACTAACTCTTCCATTACTTGGGTTGTCTTTTCACTGGATGGACAAGATTTTCTAAACCAGAGAAAGAGCTCTGCAGGATACTTAGTAACTTCATCCTAAAAATGCTCTTCAACACTTACATATATAGTAACAAATACAGTTACATAACAAAGTACACATTTGTCTCTTCTCATGTAAGAATCTGCTGCCAAGTGGCAAAATACATCCATAGTTAGTAAAGAATAATTAGAGATATTAATATGTAAATGTTCATATAAATCAATGCTTATAAATGTAAATAACATTTTAGAGCAGGGGTTTTCAAACTTTTCAAGTGGCAGAACTTGTTAGTTAAAAAAGGCCCTCAGATAACCTGATTGAGAAGCAAAGCTCTGGTGATTGCAGACCTTGCCTAGGGAAACTTTGATTGATGGTAACTTAACAACTGAATTTATAACAGAGCAATGCTTGTTAACTGTGCTGTATATTTTCAATAGTCAGATAAGAACACAAATAGCATGGTAATGACAAAGCCAGACTGGCTCAGAAAAAAGATGGAGCTGGTCATAAAGAAAGTAACACCCTGTATGATATCAGACAGGAAAGGCAGAACATAGAACAAAGCAGAAAACCCAATTCTATTAATGTAATGCTTAAGCTTTCTCTTTTAAGTGATAAAAACAACTTGGTGTTAGGCAGACCTTACAATTAATCTGAGTGTTCCTACAAATTAAGAGGATTAATATTAACAGAGGAAGATGGAATTTACATAGAGCAATTCTTAACTTCCTGAGACAGTTGATGTAATGCCAGATTTATCCTGATGATTTGAGAGTCACTGAGTGGCTTCCACCTTATTATGATGACAGAATTATGATTGAATTTAATACTACCTTTCCTTAAATTCTGTTTCATATATCCTGATTTGTTAATTGTATTCTCATCCTCATCCCACATAAAGTTACTACTTAAATAATTTAAATCAAACCTGAAACTAGTAGTTCTTAACTCTTCTGGAGAGTTAACTCTTCTGGAAGGAGTAGGGGAAGGAAACATGGAAGTCTGAGGTTTCCTGTAGATCAGGGTTTCTCAGCCTTGGCCACTTTAAGCTGCATGGACTTCAACTCCCAGAATTCCCCAGCCAGCATGCTGGGAGTTGAAGTCCACACAGCTTAAAGCAGCCAAGGTTGCTGTAGATCATCCAAACTAACCTTTAAAACATGTTATTATGTTGCACGCATATAACATTTCTAAACATGTTTTTACTTTGCAAAAAGCAGAATATCATGCAGTATATACAAACTTTACATATGCATAGCCTATATGTTCACACAGGAATGATCTACGCATGAAAAAGGCCAAGAAAATCTGTTCCTACTTTTATGATCCTTGCCTCATGTCTGCAAACATTCAGCTGTACGTACTTCAAGAATGTCTGAATATGGTTACAGTTTCTCCTCAAGTCCCATATTCAAAAAGCGACTACCATAAGACCATAAGACCATCAAAATCAAAGCTGTATTCCATTCTGAAATAAAATTCCACATACTCTAATTTTCTTGAGAAATTCATTTCAAATGTTTCCAGTCACACTGTATCCCTGCAGTGCAATCCTCCATTTGAAAGTAAGTTACACTGAAGCAGATTGGATTGCAGTCAATATTTCCAGCAGCTGCAATCAGCTTCTACTCTGACACCAAATAGTACCTTTAATATCTCTTCATTTTCAGTTATTGCTTGCTTTCTGTGGCTATATACCCTAACTTAATATTTTCTAGCTCCAGACTAGATAGTATAATGAGCATCACGTGAGATTTGCCCTATTGTGAACAGGCATTCCCAAGGATGTGAGATAACTTCCAAGTCACCTGAACTATTTTATCAGGTTATTATTTATCAGGTCTGTTATTTATCAGACAAAGTCCTTGAGTAGAGTGTAAACTAAACACTGCAATCGAGACAGACCTTTTCTAACGCTAGTTTTCATGCCTCAATAAATTCCAGGCTGCAGATCAATCCTTCAGTAAATCTAATTGATAGCCAACAGGCTTCAGATCTTTCCACAGAAGACAAATTGCCTAAAGGAGATGATTAAGGTCACTTCTTAAGCCCTTAGTTGTTTCCCTAACATCCTACTGATACCATACTAGTCATATTCCATATTCCATTATTTGCATAACTAGATGAAAAATTAGGAATTTTCATTTTTTTAAAAAATGTTACTTTAAAGCCAGTCAAATATTTTAATCTCAACATTATATATTTTAAAACTGCACACCAACCAGTAACAAACCACTACTACCAGTACTGCAGTACTTGTTTGGAAGTAGAGGACAGCTCCAAAAAAACCAACAACAATCAGATAGCAAATTAAATGAAAGATTTCCTTCTGCCTCTGATCCCGAAGGCTGGTGAAAAAGGGCTGAAGTTGTTTGTTTCTAAATTGGACTGTATGCTTATTTCTAAAGCAGCAACAAAAAGGAAATAATCATCTTCATATTTCAAATCTGTGAAACTGTCTTTCGTCTAGCAGGGCTTTTTAAATACATTTATTTTTTAAAAATAAAATGAAATAAAAATACTCTGAGGCACTGGCCCAAAATAATGATTTAGTTTTCTCTTTTCTTCCCTTTTCTCACTGCATTCTAGATCAACTTAATTATTTTCTCCGTTTTAGTAAATGTCACAGTAACAAGAGTCTGTGTGAAACCCAATCCCTTGATGTTATAGTTTTACTGATCAGCTTAAATTAAAAGCATTGCTTTATCCAACTGTTTTGAATACTGAATCAAAACTCAGATTGGGTCCCCTTCATATGTAGGGCCCAGAACAACTATCACCCATTGTTCCCCTAAAAGACTGTATCATTTGCTGCCAAAAATTGAGCAAATAAGGCAGCAGCCAATGATTTGTATGGAAAGCACTTCACAATGTGCCTGTTCAATACCTGGACGGTTGACTGGCACTGGGCAACATCAATATTCCTACACTCCCTTAAAATAGAAATGCTTTATGTCAAGGCTTAGAAGATATCTTCCTTTATCAACATGCTTAAGAAGTATCCACAGAACAAAATCATAGCAACTTGCATCTTAAACAGCCTAGCTCAAGTAATATAGAAGCTTCCAAACCTTCCAGCTGAAGGAAGATAAACTATATATTACCATTCCAGTTTCTCACTAATACAGTTAACCATCCATTAGGTTGTGAATAATCCCTTTTAATGTGGCTCAGCCTTCCCCAAAATGGTGCCATCTAAACATATAAAACCAGCGTGCATAATCAGGCTAGCTGAGTGATGATGGGAATTCTAATCTAGGACATTTGGAGAGCACCAGGTTGGTAAAAGGTGATGTAGCCTATTGTTAATCTCTCCTATACACAATGAATAAGTGACATTCCAACCTGTACGTGGATGCTCTGGTGAACTGTTGGTCCAGGGTGCATCTTCAAACTGGACCCATGTGTTGAAGGATGAAGACAGATCAAGGCCTACAGCTGTTTTGCTTATTCTTTCTCCCAACTCAGCATGTGAAAGACTTGGCAATTCTCCATCTAGATTTTGGATGCCTTCAGAGGAAGTATCAGAGGAGGAAAGAAATCTCTCAAGTGGCTCCCTAGTGTGGCCTGCAATGAAAACCACACTGTAAAAAGGAGTAATATAGCATCACACTTACTTACTTACTTACTTATTTATTTATCAAATTTATATCACTGCCCAACTCCCGCACAAGGAGGGACTCTGGGCAGTTCACAACAAAACAATTTAAATCAATAAAAACATAAATAATACAAATATTAAATACAAATATTAAATACAATAAAATCCAAGAGATGGTGATATTATTTCAGCCTGTAACCAGATAATATCGGTCAAAGGTAA